CATCTCCGGCATTATTTGAGCAAGGTTTTAGGCTGAGGTTCTGCTCCACTGATCTCTATATACTAACAGTTAGTATATAGAGATTAGTGTTTTGATCCATCTAATTCTAACAAAGATACCGTATATGATTACTACGGGTAAAAATCTTTATAATAAGTATATTATTATTATTATTATTTGTTATTATTATTATTATTATTATTATTATTAATTATTATTATTATTTCCAAAGTAGCGGTGGCTTCTGGGTTCGCCTTGTCCCAACGTGGGGCATAGAGATTCAATCCAGATTTTTTTGTGAAATGTGAGTTATCATTATTATTATTATTTTCAATTTTTATTATTATTAATATTAATATTATTATTATTATTATTAGTAGGTAGTAGTAGTAGTAGAAGTACTATCATTATTATTCTGATGATAATTATGTCAGGTATCTTCCTACGTTAATATCTGGATCTTCCGTGTCTCAGCAAAATGTTTACATTCGGCAAAACTCGGGACATCTCGCCGCTACTCCTAATTTCATTTTAGTTGAGGGTGGAAAGACACGAATTGCGAAATAGAGGCCTGCTGATAGAACTACCCACCTAGGTGTGGTTACATGACATCCAGTCCACACAAGGCACAGTGAGAATCACACAATATACACTCGGGATATGAATTTCTTGATTACCCGAGAACGCAGACCCACGACGCATATATATTATATAAGAACTGTGCTGTGCTCCGTAGTGCGTCGCAGAGCGCCATCTCGTTTAGGCAAGCATTAATAATATAAATGTATGTTATATTCGGTTGAGGTATTTCATAACATGGGCCTTAATATAGTACTACCAGAGTAAAAACTGGCTCTAGCACGCCGAGCAGAATACTGATAAGTGAGGTTGTTTATGCATGATGTAACATCTACTTAATATATTGTAACACCTCAGATATCAGAATGCAATGTTATATGTTAAACACATCTCACTAGAACAGCTATATGAAATAACTTGCAGCTGGTTTGCAAAGAGACTGCAAACATATCTACTAATAAAAGACTATATAGAGATACTGAGCCTGGTGCGTAAGCTAGATGTAACATCCTATCTCGAGGAATAGCAATCAGATACTGATTAGATCATGCCATCTCATCTATTCTCTCCATACCTTCCAATCTCAACACTTCATCCATCCATACATCATTCCATCCATCCATACCATTTCCATCCTATCCATTCCATCCTCCAATCCAATCCATACCATCCATCCATCATACCATCCATCCATCCATCCAAATCCTCCATCCATCCATCCATCCATCCAATCACATCCATCTCCTATTCCTATCCATTCCATCCAACCATCCACATACCAACCACGTTCCATCATCCATCCAACAACCTATTCATTGTATCCTATACGATGTATTACCATCCCGAGGGGTCCACCTACTAACGCATATCACATTGAGCGACGTATACCACGCATCCGTGGATACCTCTATCTGGAAAGTGATGGGGTTGGTCAGGGCTGCGAGTACACAACGCCTGCCGCGCCACCTCCGCACGCACGTTAGTAGTAGTGGGTGATAACGCTATGATTCTCCATTGATAGTATAATATATATATATATAGGTATACAGAGTACGCCGAAGACTCTGCGACAACCACACGAGTACAACAGCGACGAACAAGAAAGCCGTCCATACAATCAACTGCGGACCTTACTCTCACTCACACACTTTCACCTTTGAAAGTTATCAAATTTCAGACTTGTGTGTGAAATGCTACTGTATGGAGGTTTCTTTCGGCGTGCAACAACCCCCCAGAATCGGTTGTTCAACCGAATACAGCTTCCGCTTTATCCGACAAGTGGGTTACATGAAAAATATACCGATTAAGCGGTGATACCAAATTAAGCGGTGAACGCATACAATGCGCGTACCTCTCTCTACCAAAGACGAGAGGTGTCGTTTAAGTGATCGCACTCTCCCGTTTACGCCGACGCCTAAATGCTCTAGTTTAGTTGCTCGCTCTAGTCGAATAAACATCTGTAAGTGATAATTATAAACACGATTTGTGAGAGGCGCAAACCCGGAGGGTTAAGGCGTCTGGATGGTGGTAATTGAATTATTAATCAATAAATTTCGGTATCTTGGTAACCCAAATTAACACGTGTGTGCGAGCTCGAGTGTGCTGCTAGGTGTCGCCTTGAAGAGGATCACGTCTACCGACGGCTGTTAGAGACTACATCGACGTGCAATGCCTCTACCTAAGCGGGTGTATAAACAATTTTGTTTATAACTGAAGCGACATCGCACGCAACGACAAGAGCTCACGTTTATAAGACAAACCGCAGAGCTGCATCGCTATTGCCGCAGACGTCCAAACACACACAATTGATATAGTCATCTTCGTTCTAATAGTACTCATTCATTGTACACCTATATTAAATATAAATTACAAACATTCCGGGCCTCGTGAATATTTATCACTATTTTTACTTATTGCCTGCTGTCGTAATGCATGCGTGAGCCACAGTCAACTGCTGCCAATTTGTTGGTCAATTGGAAAAGAGTCACTTTTTATTATATAGGTATACATCCCCCTACCTTCCAAAAAGCCTGTTCGACATCATGATAAATTTTATATAAAAATCATCAGCAACGACCGTAGGTTTATTAAGATCTTTCTAATCAGTGCACAACTTATCGACATTACACTGATCATGTGTCTAATCGAACATGCCGCATTAACCCTATTTGAAATGAAAAAACAGCTTTGATGGCATGATATAGTTCTTTGCTTTCAATCTCACCTATAACCCTTTTTTATTTCGTGTGCAGGTTGTTGATAAAAATTATGGTGTATTAGAATACGGGAGGATACTGCATTTACATATATTATAGATATTTAACGGCTTTCGCCAATATATGAAAATACTTAATAGCTAATAAGAGTAGTTCCCTGGCTAAGTAGCCTATAAAACTATATCATTACATGGATAACTATATCGAGCACGTAATAGTGAAACGACCTTTGCCTTAACTTTACTGCGGGAGCAGCCAGTAATCACTATAGTTGTATATATATATATAGCTATGGTATTAAATACAGTCTTTCACAGTCATAGATGAGTCTTAATAGTTTATTCTAAATGTGGATGTTATATTAACTGTCATATTAACTACAGTAAGCTTTTGCGCGTATTTAACTCACCGAAACGCGATAGCGTGCTTTCAGTGCGTAATGTCTGTAGAATGCCATCCGAACGTGACACTATTAACGGTGGAAAATGTTTCTGCCAGTTCTAATGACTCGAGTGGAGCAGAAAAATGCTCAAATGATATAAAATGATTTATTGCGCAAGATTGAGTTGACAAACATGGACGTTGACGGGTGTTAGTGACTCAGATTATTTTGGTTTGTGGTTGGATTTTTTGTCAGCCTTAACTGGTTTCATTGAATCGAACATCTAGATTATACCATAGATATAGAATACAGATATAGTATTCTATATCTATGCTTATACGATGCGCCACTACGCTTTATCAGATACACTTGAATACAAAATGTCTGTTTTGTGTCTCCGCTGTGTAGCTCTGTGCAGAGATACAAAATGTCTGTTTGGCTGCATTTCCCCTTCTATGTTTAGCATATGCAGAGATATAAAATGTCGGCTTGGCACTCTTTCTGCTCTGCATACATTTGTAAAGAAACACAAAATGTCAATTTGGCTGCCTCTGCTCTGTATAGCCGTGTACGGTGGTGAATAGCACAGTCATGCTTTGTCATTTTTCATTGGCCATAGCACCCCATGTTTTTATCGGTGATTATTCGCTACGTACGCGCATATGGTTCGTCTGGGATGGTCACGAAAGCGCGTGCAATTATATCTTCTTATCGCGTCTCCAAAATGAACGCAGTCCCTGTCATTACGATTTCTTGTTGTCTGTTTCGTACACGTTCCGGTCTATTTCGGCTGAGTTCTCAATGAGTTTAAACGTAGCGGCGGATCCAGGGGGGGCACAGGGGGGAAATGCTATCCCCCGGGCGTGTAGGGACAGTACCGCAATGTGGCAGCACTAGTGTTAGGATTAGGGTTAGGATCAGGGTTAGGATTAGGGTTAGGGTTAGCGTTAGGGTTAGGGTTAGGGTTAGGGATATAAGGCCATGTCTAGTACGGAAGTATGACTGTGGAATCTTTCTGTGGAAGATTTAGACTTTGAAGTATACGTTAACTGTATCACGTGACTGTCCCTCCACGCCCGGGGGATAGCAACACCCGGCACAGGGGGCGGTCGCCCCCTAGAATTTTTAGGGCAAGGGTATTTTAGCCTAACATCCTCCCCCTCGGGCGCTTCGTGCCATTGAGCTCGCATGATTCGCCACCCCCAGCACGATTCGCCCTCCCCCCCCCTAGAATTCATTTCTGGATTCGCCACTGAAACGTATGCTTGGATCGGTAGAACTTCACAAAACTGATTTTGCAGGGTATTATATACTAGGATGCGAACTAAAAGAGCATGCTCGCTTGCCATTTTGACTTTGCTATTATCGTAGGTTCATAATCTAGTGAGGTTGTGCGTAATGTGCGGCACGAGAGAGCATACATGAACGGCGTAGCTTCTCTCTCTACTAATTTTTTCAAATCACAGCAGGAAAATTTATCTTCTTACGATAAGTGCAATGTAATCACAAGTCTTTGTCTTGGCTCCAGTTTTGTTTTGTAATCCGTCTTGCTTGTGTCGAAAATAGCGGGGTTGTAATCGGCTTTAAACAAAATGTGCTTATTGGAGCTCTGGCAGCTTGATTGTATATGGCCGTAGCGCGGATGTTTCTTCGTGCTTTTATAAAAGGGCAAATACGACAAAAGAGAACTGTATTTGCTCGAAAAAACGCTGGAACTGCATGATGAACGTCACGCGATCCTATAAAAGAAAGAAATCAGCTGAAGTAAATTTCTTTGCCCTTTTCTGGCTTTGATGTGATTAACGATCATTCATCATTCATTATTAATAATTGCCGCTTTGGTAAAGACGCAAATTGACGCCCCTTGAGGCAGTCATCGCAAATTTTTTTAATTTCTTTTCGGAACAGAGCTCACAAGTTGAAAATGTTACAGGTTTCTGAGAACCAGAAGCGTATTTCCCAAAATTCAACGATTTCTATATTTTCTGGAGTACAGTTACAAAAACTAACGCAGACGAATAATCTTATAATGTTATCATACCATTTGATTATGAGAAATCGGTAAAAGCAGTGAACGTGATAGCAGATCAATCTAACGCATCATCCGCACTGAGAAAGAAAATCTTTGTTGGATTTCACACAATTATGACAAGCATTACTGTGTCAGAATCGTGGTAGACTACGTATATGCATCTGATTTCTAACATGAAGCCTCTTAGCTACAGAAATCGTAGTGCTGCGTTATCAAAATAACAGATGTTTTCGATGTTTACAAGTCTGCCTCTTCATGTTATACTTCAGTTTTTTTTAACCACGATGTAAATTAATATTTATATCTTTTAGCATCTTTATGTCAAGAAACTGTGTATAGCACATGGGCCCTTCGGTGTTGTAAGTAGTATTTTTATCATACATCATTCATTTCATTAAACAGTATACCATTTAATCTATGTCCTACGCTACCTAAGGGAATCAGTGTATGAATCCTGTGTCAGTGTTGAGATTAGAACACCAACTAAGCGCAAGGGCGCGTATTATATACAATATATATTATCAAGTAGGTTAAAATTAGATTTACCGGTACAAAATATCGGATTACGTAGGCCTACGTGTACCACCACCAACGAAAGAGACAGCATGAGTCGATATTCACATCGACGAGGGTATTACGACCACTGAAAAAATAACGGCAAATATAATTAATTCATTAATTTATTAATTAAACAAGTAAACGTATTTATCTAGAACACAGCTAAGCTAAAAGCATCTTTCTAGCGTGTGTCTTCAATCATTGTCTGTCTCTGTCTATCTGACATCATGTCTGGTATATAAGTCGATGGCCTTCACGAAATACCTAGCGGATACTTTTTCAGAAATGGAAGCGCGCATCACACCTTTTATATAGGAGTTTAAAATCACTTCATAACGAAACTGCATGCATTGTTAACTTAACGTGACGTCGGGACGATGACATTCATATTCATCTCGACGTGGCAACATCCACGTCTGATGGCATCGCCTGACCAATTCGCATCAACAACATGGCTCTGTTGTTTAATAGAACACTTAATAGTAGTGACAGATGTGTTCGCAGTTTGCTATTTCTATCCGTGTTCGTGTCTGCGACGTTGCCATCCGCATGGCGGCGCATGCCTCCACTAGCCGACCTCGCGTAGTAACATTTCTCCTCCCGTACAGTTTCCCACTTCTCCTTACGGTCCTCGCAGCATCCGCGTAGCTCCCATCCAAAACACGTGGTCACGCTTCGCCTGTCATTGCGCAGGGCTCGCATTCTCTACGGCGTTGTATGTGTAGGGGTCACTCATAGCACTACTCTTTCCGTGATTTCGATAGAGAGCATTCGCTCGCGGTTTCCCTGACAGCTGGTGGCGTCTGTCTCTGTGTCTGTGTGTGTGCAAAAGCGACGTTGGAGTAATACACGGTGGCGTAAACGAGCACCCGCATATCCATCCATCCTCTCACTCGGATTTCGTGCAGCATTCTGTGCAAATATCGCGTTTCGTGCAGCAATCACGCGTCCTCCGATATCTATCTTTCTCTATCTCTACACGCCGACATCAGTAGCGTTCTGTAGCCGGGAGGCGATTACCGATCGGTGACTACGTATATAAGGAAAAACACGTCATTCGTCGAAGAAGCGGCAGAAAAGCGCGCTGTTTTAGCACGAGTCTCTGCAAAGCGAGACCGAATACGCGGAGCATCGATCACTGACAAGCGAAGAGGACATCCGTGTACACACGCACACACACACATATATATATAATATATATATAGATACTAAACTCGTACCTGTTTCTAGCCGGGAGTAGGTTTACGGTGACACCAAGTTGCACCGGAGCGTACTTACACCTGTGGACGGACCGCAGGTAGAAAACGAAATCGAAACGATCGCTCCGTGAACCGCATCGAAAGTGAAGTGCCGTGATTAAAAACGTACACGCGTGCGTGCACGACGAGCGAACAGAGAGAGCACGCGTGGGCGGAGACAGAAAGAGGCCGATAGCGAAGGCGATCACATAGACACGGGCATCACCTAGAATGAACAGAGTAATGTTCAACATGAATAGAGTTAGCCATCGCGTCGTCATTTCCGTCGTGCTGGTGATATTCTGTGAGATCACTGGTCTGGAGTCGGGCAGCACCGTCGGAGCCGTCAATCTACCGCCGGTTTTCTGGAACAGCTCCAACCCTGTGTGAGTACACGCACATCCCCCGCACATACACACACGCGCGCGCACGCACACACGCACACGGCGCACACGCGCTCGCGCGTACAAAAAACGCACGCACACGCACACACACGCACACACACACACACACACACACACACACACACAC